AAGCACGAGAATTAAATAATGGTCACTTTCGAAAATATCAAGAAAAATTACGATCTATTAATCCACCTTGTGTACCATTTTTTGGTAAATAATAATAATAGAAAAACCATTATTTTGCAACTAAAATAAGTATTCATTGATCTTTTTTTTTTTTAGGCATGTACCTGACCAATATTCTACACATTGAAGAAGGAAATCCGGATTATCTACGGGGAAGTCCGGAACTTATAAATTTTAGCAAAAGGCGGAAAGTGGCGGAAATAACAGGAGAGATTCAGCAGTACCAAAATCAACCTTATTGTCTTTCCGTGGAGACTAGGATAAGACATTTTATTGAAAATTTGTCGCCCTTTGATCCTAATATGAAAGAGGCGGATATAAGCAATTATTTGTACAATAAAAGCTTAGAAGTAGAACCCAGAGGGTGTAGGCAACCACCTAGAGTAGTAAGTTCTGTTCGAACTATTATAAACTACATGTATAATCACATCGCTTCTACTAGTTGTTATTATTCTTGTAGCCCCGTAAATGGCCAGACTTGAATTTAAAGTCACCGGGCATTAAAGCTAGAAGTTTGAGCGGCAAGTTGCCAGCCCCATTGCAAGCTGTAGCCTCTAGTGTAAGATTACACGATCCTCCTCCGGAAGCGCCGCCACCAGAATTACCGGAAACTCCTCCGCATCACACTTCACACATCACAATTTCTCACGTAGGGGACCACAGTGTCTTTGCACCTGTTCTGTTAGGAGGTTCGTGTACTGTAATATTGATTCAAGCATGTAGTTGTGGGCTGCTTTTTCAGAATTCTTATTTCGTTCAAACAATGGAAAGGAGAACTACTTTTTATTTCGTTGCGTAGTGTGCTTGGATAGGTAGTAGATGTACTTTGCTGTTAATACAGGTACAGCTCAACCTCCAGGTTCACCAGGTCCTCTCAGCATGACGGGACTCTCAATCAGCTCGCCAGGTAGCAGTCCACAATTGGGATCGCCTGGACATTTACCTGTCCCGCATCATCAACCGCAGAATAGTCACTTTGGCTTTAATTCTGGTACTATTGGTGTGATGGGAGCTTTAACTGGTATGCCATCATCAGGTGGAAGTCCTGGTGCTGCTCTGCCACCTCCACCATCTCCTAGCCACGTACCTCTCAATCAACCTCCGCCCCCTTTGCCACCTAGATCTCATAGGAAACGAGAGAGTTCCATAAGCGAGTCACCGCAACAGGTAAGTTTAGTTGGTGAATTTTTTGTTCTATTAAATTATGTCATTTTTAACATCGTATGATTTGTATTATTTCGTAGGCGAGACAAGCCCCAAATGCACCGATACTTCCTCCACGGGATGGTACGTCTCCACCACCATTACCGCCACGAAGAGATTTGCCTCCGGTAACGTTACCGCCTCGCCTTCCTACGACGTTCAACCCAAGTTGTTCGGCGCTACTCGCCAGGCGAAATTCCACACTGGAGAGCACATGTTCGAGTGCCGTTTATCCACGAAGACACATGTCTTTCAATGGGCCCAGTCCTACGAAACTTCCACCTACGCAACCTAATGGTAAAAATATAAATATCGAAGAATCAATTGTTCCATCGTAAAATTGAAAATTCAAGAAATATTAAGAAATGTTTTTTTAACACTTTGTATATCTTTAAGTATATTTGTATTGTTTTTTAGGATCGGTAACACCAAGATTACCGCCAAAACCGTTGCCAGGACGTCCACCAACCACCATGTTTAATTTCAATGCTCCTCCTGGATCTAGTTAAGTGTTACATCTTCCTACCTCTTACCTAAATTAAAACGCATCTATTGGAAATCGAGATTTAGTCCACTCAGGAGGATTAGTCGAGTCGGATGTTTTGCCTGTCCGGTATGACTGACATTGTGAAATTGACACTTGTTATTGCGTAACATTTTCACAGGAGGCTTCGTTGGAGCACAGGATTTTATTCGAGGCTTCGTATTAACACGATTACCGTGACTCCTTGACCGAGCACACGAAGCATAATCGGTAAACGCATTAATACATATAATTCAACGAAAACTTTCTCGCGGCGCGGCTCATACGTGATGAGATGCTGTTACATTCCTTTTTACGATTTGTCTTTTTAACACGTGTGACACTAATTTTTATTGAAAGTTTATTTTTCGAGAGGATATAGAATGTTTTATCGCATATAGTATATTTTTAGAGGGTTTTTTTTACCAAGCGAATATATAATCAGTAAATATAAGGCTTTATATCCTGTTCGATTGAATGAACTCAGTTGAAGCTGTTTATCTTAAACGATATCCAAAGAAAATGAAATCTGTACAGATCGCCTAACCAGCAAAAGCGTATCAATCTCCGTTATTCAGATCTACGAAATATTTTTATAAATTGACAAACTCGAGAAGTGTTTCCTTGATAATTTTGCATGTTTGAGTCTGGTATCGCGGCATAATACGTATTAGTTTTAACAGACAAGGAAAGGGTAAAACTGTTTCTGCAAAATAACCTAACTGCGGACAGTTCGTTCTAAAAAAAAAAATATGGAAAGAAATTTGCCTAACTTTTGCGAATCACACGTACACACATACATACACACTGCATTAGTAGTAACAGCACTATGTCGCAAAAAGTATAACGATGTAACACATTTTTTGCTACGAGATTCCCTAAAAAAAGAAACAAAAATTATCTACATAATTTTAGCACAAAAGCAATAATATTACGAGAGTATATCTTACTGTATGACGGACTGCT